GACATACACTGGACTCCGCAGTTCCTCTATATTTTCTATAGAGGTGCATGTGTGAACGCAAATGTCAGAGTGAGACGCTCTGTAATTTCTGCAGACTTTCCACGCCTGGCCTCCTAATATGAAGTCCGTAGAACACAGCAGAGGATCCCCTGCTGGATTCACCGCAAGTGAGTCTAAAACACGACAGACGCAAAACTGAAAGAACAAAAAGAAAACTCCTGGTGAAAAAGCGCTCTCATACACGTAGAAGACACTGACAAATATGTCAAGAAGGTTTGTGGTGATAAGAGTTAATACGTTACTTCCGGTCTCTGTGTGCTGCACCCAACTGCTCCACCTCTCATCTACATAATGGAGGATTTGTTGTTGTTGTGATGCTTCTGTGCAGAAAACATCCTGCTGTGTTGTGTGCATGTGTGAAAAGCTAACTCTGGGTAAACACCGTAACCATTTCTCTGGATTTTTTTACCCATAGGTCATGTCTGAAAACGGCTTAATAATCAAACCTGCTCATACTGATCTGGCCTCCCCAACCTGCTGGTGTTAAACCCTCAGTCAACATCCTCTTGAGAAACTCCATATGAGTGTGTTGTTGTTGGAATCAGCTCTGGTCTTGACCAGCTCTTGAAACCACAGCTAACTACAGACCACATCAGTCCACCTGTGTGTCTCAGGGCTGTCTGCGCTGTCCCTGAAAGCTGAGCCTGATTTACTGATTTGCCCAAAGAGATGAGTCCATTCCTTCTCTCCTGGCAAGGCTAAGCTCGGTTGGGGAGGATATTAATTTCTAGGCTATAGCGAGTATTTAGACCTCAAGGGCCACAGATCCTATCTTACTCACACATCACAGGCCTTATTAAAGGGGGTGTCAATTCAGGACATTAGACTTCTGAGACTCGCAGCAGATTACCCTGGGTAGTTAATCTCGTCGGGCATTGTCTGTCTTAATGGTCATCTTGGTTTGGGAGTGCAGCAAAAGGGGAGATGCCACTATCTCCTACACAGATTGAATTACCTTTGAAATGGAACTAATTACAACAAGGCAGCAGTCCCCTGCGCTTACAGGCTATTTTGTACTTGTTTTCAACACGAGATAAGTGGAGTAAATTAGCCTTTATACTGATCTGTTAAAAAAGACCCAAAGAGGTATTATATGCGTGTATGTTTGTGAATGCTTTATAACATCAGTGGAATACCAACAGGAAGCAGAGGCCATAAGGACAATTAATGGGATACGAAGACAGCAACAAAGGGGCAGCCGGGGCTTTGACTCAGGAGGTTGAGTGGGTGGTCCATTAATCAAAAGGTCATTCTCCTCCAGTCTGCATTCATAAGTGACCTAGGAAGTGAACCCCAAATTTGTACAAATGTGTACAAATATGGCTGTGTGAAGTGAAGTGCTGTGAGAGTGTGTGAGCGAATAGGTGTATGTGTCTCAGGGTGTAAAGCACTTTGAGTGGTCATTAAAGCTAGAAAAGCAGCTATTTAAATGCAAATGCATTCATTTACCTGGATGAGCACAGAGAGAAACGAAGGGAGGCAGTAAGTGAAGGAAAATTTGAAAACATACCAAACATATACAAAGGTGACCAAGAAGGCATTGAATGGCCAAAAAAAGGCCAATAAAAAAAATTCAAACCATCACAAAAATGTTATATTGAGTGAACAATTTGGTCATTTTTACCAGGAGGATGGTCAGATGATTGGAAACTAAAGAAGTGTATAGTTGTTGCATTTTCTGTGGAGTTTGTGCTGAATCCTACCGGCCTTCTGAGGGGATGGCAGAATTGTCAGGCTATTAAAGGGGATGTTGTTTTTGGTAATTTTAGTATAAAGGTCCATCCCCTCTCACACCCTACGAATCTATTATGTATTATGTTAGATTGAATTGAATTGTATTATATTAATTTAATTTAATTTAATATTTTGGCTGTTTGGGGTTCAAAGTACTAATACAGGAAACTGACATATGGACAGTAGGGGTGAGGCTCAAACTCCAGTCAGATCCAGTCATTATTGGTCAACGGTACCATCAGAGCTCTTTTTATTATCTCAAGTGCCATTTCCAAATCTCACTTTGCTCCCCTCTTTTCTCCAAGTGTATTATACTCAGAAATCAGATTTGACCACAGCAGCACACATCCAGAAGAGCTGATGCTGAGGAATAGTTCCTGCACAAAATGCTGTGCTGTGCCCTTTGGTGTCAGTCAATATTTGACTGAAATTGAGAGAAGTTTTTGTCCTTACACTTGCAGCCAGAACCAAACCAGGTACCAGGTAATATCAAGTAAACCACTAAATGCAATTTAAAATGGTATAATCCCAATGGACCTCAGATCAGATACATCAGTTAGTGCACTTGCATGTAGTGCCCTGTGTTCACAGTGTACTCACTGGTTTATTGCATGATTTAGTGTTGTGCTACTGTGCACTCACCAGACTGGGATTGATGTCTGCCAAAATATCTGCAGGCTACTTTGTCCATTTGACTGTGACTGCTTTACTTTCTTGTGTGCACCCTGTTTCACACACCAGAGAAGAGTTCAGTGTTTCGCTCTCAGCTGTTTGACCATTGTGAGTGAACCACCAGGGTACTGAGAGTGCCCTGCATGTTGTCACACTTGGTGTGAATGCACTTAACAAAAGAAAGTGGGAACCTGGACATAAGTGAATTTTGACACGGCACCTGAAGTTGAAGTTAAGGTAAGAATGATAGAAACGGGGAACACAGGCTGTGGGGCTAAAGAAAGAGGGGGAGAGACACAAAGAGAAAGAAACAGAGGACGTAAAATGAGAAGTCATTGAAGTGGAGCTGCCTGGGGCAACAGTCAGGTTTTAGAAGTTGAAAGAGGACCCAGCAGTTTCCAGGAAAACATTCCAATTCGAGACACTAATAGGCTCCTCTGTCTGAAACTGTTGTATTTGATTATTAAAAAACACATTTATCCTCCTGAAAGTGAAGCCTCTCGGGTCCCATGTGAAGCACTTCTAAGATGCTCAAGATTAAGGGACTGTTATGAACTATTTAGAAATGCAATGCCAGAAAAGGCACATGAAAGGATTCTGTAATAGAGACTTCACGTTAGTCTCTTAAAAACAAGTTTTCTAACAACTATTTTTCTTGCAGAGATTTTTTTAACAGGTCTTTTTAAAAAGCTCTGTCCATCAGATAAGGATGCCTCTTCCTCTGTGCTGGCTGCAAAAGTAACACCATTATTGTTACTTTCTAACATTTTGCTTGCAACCAATAACTGCAGCTCCTGTGAGGCTGTGAAAGTGCTTCTGTGTCTGACGCTATATTCAGCTTTCATGTAACCTTGTGTACACAAGGCTGAGCAGCAAAAGCAGCACAACAGCAGCAATCAATGTCCACAGTGGATTTGTTTGGACAAAGAACTGACCTCTCAATACAAATATCGTGGTAAGGACCTTAAGGGTCATGAAACAATTCAGGTTGCAATTATTACACATCTTAAGTGAAGGCAAAGTACGAGTCATTCAGTAGCTTGTGAAGGCCGCTGCATTGAAGAGATTGACATCAGAAAGAATGGTGAAAATTGAAGCAGCAGAGGCAGAGAAATCCTCACTTTGAGGCTTGTCAAAGCCAAGTATTAAAATAGCCCGGATGATGATGATCCAAAATACATTATGTAACAGTCTGAACAATCTGTCACATTATGAGAGGAATTTATAAACTGGGTGGAGTGCCCCTTTACACAATGATTATCTCACAGTTATGTAGCAAAAATCTCAAGAAGTCAAATGTCTCATGAACATTGGTTGGAAAAAACAAAGGCATATGTCCAGTGGATACACTCCATGGATTAAAGGCTGTTCTTCAGCAAAGGTTATGATCAGGTCTGACCTTGGTAAGCTATTGGCTGAAAATAGGCTCAACTTTTTTATCATAATTGTCTCTATTTTAATTTCCGTAAAAGATGATTAATTGACAATGATTCAGTGAAGAACATCTACCTTTGTACTGGTATTGAACCTAATAAAAATGAGCAAAGCATGGTGCATGTTCGGCAAGCAACTCACTGATAATAACGTTCAAACCACTGTGAAAAGTTGTATTTTGCAGGGATATCCGACCCTTCCAAGAGAAGCTCAGTGGTTGCCTATAAGTAGCATATATAACAGGCAATGTTAGCGCTTTACAGGATTATTAAGTCATAAGTATGCAGACTAATGAGTGCAGAGAAGAGCTGGAGGTGGCAGTGGAGTGCAGGCAGCACAACCTCTCGACAACGTGGTGTTGGAGGTCACCACGGCAGGGATTAAAGCAACATTATGCAACATTGTTACATTAAAATAACAGCTTGATGGTACACAGAATTTTAATAGGGAGAATGCTGCTTATGTCAATCCCACTCTGCACCCTGAACTCCTGGTCTGGCGAGTAGGTATTATCTCCAGAGAGTCTGAACTATAGTCAGTGGTTTAAACTGATGTAATCAGGCCCATACATTTTGCAGGTAATGCTGAACTTCAGATAAATAAAAAATACTTTTTACTTACATCTTACACCGAGCGCACCATCTTTGAAATTCAACAAGGAAGCAAATCAAACACTTTAAATGAAGTTGGTTACAGTAACAGCACTTCAGGAAACCTGGGATGATGACGAAAATAAACCATTTGGAAAATTCTAGGGAGTCAGCGCTCAGTTCAACAAATTATATGTTGCTCTGTATGAACATGAAAACCACATTAAGTGCTCTGACTCTAGGAACCAATACATTTAATAAGCACTTGTCACTGCAGAGGCTCCTGTTGCTAAGCAAAAGCATAGTTTTGATTTAATGAGGATCTTTAATGCAGCTATAGAGGGTTAAGGCAAGAAAACATAGTTTGTGTTTGCATGGCTGATAATCAGCCAGTGACTCACTGTGTGTCTAATGCTTTAGTTTAGAAAGAGTCAAACTGTGTCTCCACAGAAGACGTAGGTGAACCTGACCCTTAATAAAAAGGTAACGTGTACTAATGGTGTAACTCACTTGAATGAATGGGAACAGGAGGCCCACGGTAAAGTTGGAGAGCCAGTTCACGGTGCCAGCGATCATGAAGGCGGCGGGGCGGTAGGACTGTTCAAACAGCTCTCCGGTCAGAATGAAGGGAATACCACCTGACAAAGAGAAAAGAGAGTTACAACAAACTACAACAAAAACAGATGTACAACAGAAATACATAAACCTGATGAGGTGCAAATGGTCTTTTAGTGATATAGTTAATTTTGGCACAGTGCTGACATAAGAGCATTTTACCAGATGGTAATGTGCATTAGTACCCGTCTGACTCAATGAAGCCATATTATCTTGTTTCGCTCCCACAACACACACAATTATCAAGTAAACTCAGTATGAACTGAGCTCATTTCACCATTTAACGGTCATATGAAGATACAATGAGCTACATGTGTAGCTGAAGTTAAATCCTGTACCTCAGAAAAAATAATACAGTACTCAGGAATAAATAAATGATTGACCAGTTCAGTTTGGAAATACAGCCATGTTACTGTGTTTCAATAGAACTGAAAAGTGTGGTTCCAGAAATAAAATTCTGATTCATTTTCTGAATAGAGACTTAGATGATCAGCCGTAATATTTTAACCATCCAATGTAGACACAGCTCAATTTATTTGAGGTGGTGCCAGCCCTTTTCAGGACTTCCTATCTTGTGCTTAAGTCAAACTTTTAACAGTGTTTCTGGACCTGCAGGAGCAGATGTTGACATGTGGATACTTTGTTGGCTTCAAAGTAGGAGATTGACATCTAAATACTTGAAACACTTAAATGTAAAAGGAAGAAATTCATCCTGATTAATTAAGCAAACTCAGTAGAGAGCACTGAGGGGCAACTGAAAACACTGTGGTCACTAATGGTACAGCGTAATTTAACTGTCAAGTTTTAAAAAAGAAACATGTCACCTCCTCTTCAACACCAGAAATCTGCCTTAATCATTTTTTCGTCAGAAAATATCACATCACGCAGAAATACAAGAACCAAGAGCCCCCGAAACAATTTATTCCAGGGTTTTTGGTTTGAGTTTTGTTTGCCATGTTTGCTTCAGACACATGAAAAGCTTCTACTTCACCAACCATTTGTAGGCAGCCCCAAAATGTTTCTTTGAAGCTCCACACAGTTCCTGATTGAGTTTCAAAGCAACAGTAATTCTTTACAACAGATATTCTTTTATAGAAAGTTTAAATCAAAACATGAGGAATAGTTCATGGATACAGTGAGAGTGATTAATGATATTTATATTTACCAATGACTGCTCTCCTCTGTCCAAAATGAATAGTCAATACTTTTTTAATGACTTAAAGCATCTGTTAAATGGTTAAGTTGGCATTTGATTTTTTTTTCTCCATCTGTGAGAAATTAAACAAATAATTCCGCACAGAGAAAGAAAAGTTATCTAACGAAAGACTACTTCTTCCAAATTAACAATAAAACATACTGAAGATTTTCCACAGATCAGAATGTGGGCTGAAGTCGCTGCACTGTGCCTTATATTGTGAAGTTTGTAAGCCGTTAAAAATTTTTTGAAATTATGTTTTCAATATAAACACCCTCATACTGCAGAGAAAGAAAGGAAAATGTGCATTCTTATAAGAGGATAATAGCCGACTCTAATGACCTGAGCTGGAAACGCACTCAGAATCTGACCCTGTTGTTGTGTTTCATCACTCAATGCCAACAACCCAGGTCTGACTCCGTGCCTGTGCAGAGACAAATGCAGTTATAGAACTTTTCCAAAACATACCGTGTATACACGATTTCCAAAGGCCTCTTCACCCTTTATTGTGGATTCAAGAGGAATGCCAACTGTTCAAAATGTAATGGCTGGTGACATTTTCTGCCATATTTCATCAGCCCAGGGGCATTCTTGCATGAATCCCTGCTGCAGAGGTTATGTGAGAAAAAGCTGCTAATGTGGTCGAAACACCTTCCGAACAGTGCACAGGAACAGATAGAGGGAGGGCGGTCGTGTGTAAGATAAGATAAAACTTTATTGAAAGGGGAAATTGCCATGTACAGCACAGTTTACTGAGCAACCATGTCAGGAAATCATAATGACACATCTAAACTGTGATGCAATTATTTGTTTGTATCTATGACTGCCTATGTTGAGTATTTGAAAGTTTAAATACACACATTACAAACGCAACCCAACAAGATAACGTTATGGAGTTATGGAGTGACACAAAGAGAAAGACACAACATTATTCACATGCAGCCACACTGTGACCTGACAGAATATAAGTAATGGTGTGCAGGTGAAAGCATGATGTGAAATGGTGTATGCAAGTAATATCAGTGAATTGGCTCCATGAAGCCACATATCTCTCCCACAATCCATCCATGCATTATCAATAGGGCTTCGTATTTGAGAGTCCGGGTGGGACTGGAGCCAATCTCAGCTGACATTGGGCGGGAGGCAGGGTTCAGCCTGGACAGGTTTCCAGCGCGTTGCAAGGCCAACATACAAAGATAAGAAAAAACTAACCGACAGACAATTTAGAGTCTTCAATCGGCATGTCTTTGGGGTGTGGGAGGAAGCCTGAGTAAAAACCCATTTTGAGAGCCCTGAGCCTTCTTGCAGTGAGGCGACATTGGCCACGGCAGCGCAACAGTGCCACCAGAGTACCTCTTCCTTATTTAGCAATTTCAGTCTGAAAACTCACATTTGAAAAACATAGATGGGTGCTTAGCTACTTCATCACTTCCCCAGATATGATTACATTGATATAACAGGAAGCGATGAGTGAATATCTTTAACTTCCCCTGTCTGAGCCTACAGGTGGACACTGGGGTGGTGGAGGGTCTGAATCGACAGTCAGCAAAACTGAAGCCGGCCTGGAGAGGCTTTGAGGAGCAGAGGGAGTGATGGAACATTTTTGCAGAATAGATAAACCGCTAAATTCGGAGGGTTGTGTATGAAAGAGTGTTGTGGCGAGTGAGGAATGCTTTGCCCCATTTATACCTGTTCATAGTATAAATAATGACAACCATTAGTTGTGGAGCATTGTGTACAGTAAAAAGGACTATCATCTCTTACAATAAGTCAACACAATAGTAACAAAAACATAAAATGAGCTTTAACCTGCATACTGTAGTCTTCTAGATGTGTGGGTGCTCTGTCCTCATCTGCTGTCACACAATTGCCTTTGAGAAGACTGTTTACGAGCTACAAACCATTTAGAGCTGAATAAAGGAGGGAATGGCTCACAACAGCCCTCAGCGTCCTGAGATTTAATTGCTTGTGATAAGACTGTAAATCATCCTGTTATTTGAATACGATGCCTCTCTGTTAAACAAACGTGACCGGATCATTAAAAGTAACTCTGTGTGTGTGTCATCTCTCGAGGGCACATGCTCACTGAGGAGGATAACTGTCAAAATGCTGTTAACATTTCTGGAAAGCTCTTCCACAGTTACGGCAAAGGCAAAATACTTATTTTCCCCCTTTTGGTTGACAAAGAACAAAATTGTGCTTTAAAGCCATCATTAAGTAAGATGCAGTATAGACAGCTGGACTCACAATTTAGATGTTTTCATTGACATATTACTGCTGTCAGACGATTGAACAAGCGTAAAACACAGATTCGATCGTGCCTCATAAACGCCACCTGTTAACCAGTGTAAATTGTCTTGTGATGCTGCACTTAAACCATCAGTTGAAATCTATATTAAATGCTTGTCTGACAAAATAAAGGAAACAAAGAGAATATCAGAAGAAACAGAATTTTCTCTTCTTAAACAGCCACAGAGCAGCAGACTGTCTGAGCAGTGGTCTGTTCTATAGGAGCAGTCAAGTAAAGGTCCAAACAGACCAGCTCCACATGTAGTTGTCGTAATTGTGGCAGTTCAAACACTTTCAATGACAGACAACAATGAAGATCTTGCCCTTCTCACTCGGACAAAGAAGGGGAGTTCCACTGCCTCACAAAGGTCTCACAGAGCTCTACAACATCCCATTTTTTCGGGAATATAGAATGAAGGTTCTGCTGGTGATTCCGGTGCAGAATCTGAGGAGGTAGAGCACCACACTGGGATCCTACTGGCCCAGCATCTGGCAGTCTATACGATCAAGATGTCATTTAGGCATTGTGAAAATATGAAAATTAGCATTTTAGCATAAATTTTGGTCATTATTATTACGACATCAGACTTAGAAAATAAGAGCAAAACAAATATGCTCTCTAAAGAAGTGAGAGCTTTTTCCTGAAGTAAACCATCATATTTTGTCTGTGCTAACACTGTGTACCATTGGTTAAATAAGACTTTCAGTGAAAGGACTAGAAATAAGATCTTCTCAACCTCCCATAGCATTTGATAATCTAACAGCATTTGTCAGCCTGTACCTGTACAGCTGACTATAGCCAGTCCATTCCTTTTATTCTCTGACACTTAACATTCTTCAGAATTCACTCTTTTTGAGAGATTTGAACCTTGGATGTTTTACAGATTGTTCCTGGTTCATGCTCAGTTTTTTAAATTTTCTTGCAAGAAGCAAATAACTTTTCTCCCATGCTGTTTTTTTCCTCTGGCAGCAGAACATGTAGCCTGCAAAGGACCAACCAATGACTTTTCAACTCAATTAACTCAGCAATACTCTAGCAAGGCAACATCATAACGCTACATATAACACAATGTTTTCCCTTTCATTCAGCTTAGGCAATGTGCAAAACATTATCCCCTATCAAGACTTCTAAATGAGGGTAAAAAGTTGTGGAGGTATTTCCAGAATGCAAATTAACTGAGTTGTAGGGGCTAATTGTGTGCACTTGTTGCACAGCATGTTCCATGTCAAGCCAAATTTATCTTTTTAGCCTTTCATTGCACTTTCAGTCTCGGATGGCTGGGATACACTAATTAGGATATGTATGTTATTTGGCCAGCATATGTCTGTGGGGGGCCTCAGAGGAAACAGCATGTGTTGAATGATGTGTGATGAAAGTACGCAGGTTTGCCTCCCAGCCAAAGACAACAGCGGCTAACTGACTGGTGTACATTCAATATGAGAGTAAATGACTAATTAAGAGAGAGGGCTGCTTTGTTACACCATTCATCTCAGAATACCCACTGGATGAATGCAATCCAATTCTCCTGCATTGCCTTT